GGCTTGTAGATACAGAAACATGGCGATTTTGGTCCCATCTGTCTCTGGTTTGGGCAAATTTCGACTTAGATTACTGTGTGTGTGTGTGTGTGTGTGTGTGTAGTTCTCTTTCAGCATTAAACTAGGCTGCTCGGGTCCGTGGGCCTTGTACTGACACCTCAAAGTGCCATCTCACTCTGAGCGACAGTAAACATCTCTAAGAGGAAAGAACCAACCACTGCACTTACCCTTCAGAGACTTAGCTCCTGCTTGCAGCAACTTCTCTCTCTCAAACGGAAGCAAAAGTTGTTTAGTAAAATTCAGAATTGAGAACCTGGGGCCACAAGGTGGCATGGTGGTTAAGGTGCTAGACTCCCACATGGCTGACGGCAGTTTGAGTCCCAAACACAGCTGACTGAAAACTCACACTGGGGAGTGCGTGTGCGCGTATGTGTCCAAAAACCCCCAGGGAGAATTGTGGCGTGGCCAGGCCCTCAGGAGGGTGACGATCTCACTTTGCCTCTCCCTGGTCTCTGGCCAGCACACATGCCTGTGACAAAAACCTAAAAAAGAATTTAAAAAGTTGAGAAACCTGAAACACCTCCATCAAAAGGCCAGATTATGGACACGTCTGACTTTGACGGTGGTGAGGACACATGTAAACACTACTGTGGAAGGCAGAGTGCTTGCTATCAGGAAAACATCTGCTCTTTTGTGGCAAGAATGCGCAGAGCCACCACCCACTATGTGAAGAGCAGCAGACTGCCCCAGAGTACACAGTAGAGACAGGGCTGCAGACAGAACCAGGCGGAGACAGGGCTGCATGCATTTCCAACTGCCCTTCTCTGACACCTCCAGCTCAGACTGCAGCCTTTCCTGGAGGACAGGGCTTACTGATTTCAAAGTACACCACTTTAAATCATTCACCATTCTACGTATTTCCTAATGAATTACTGAGTTCCCAGTTACCCAGTACTTGGGGAAAAAAAAAAAAAAACAGGGCAGACAAGGAACACGACTGAAGCAAGCAGAGGAGAATTTGACTACAATATAGCAGATATAAAAGCCATCGCTGAACTTGCACGCTTGTCTGAAAGGAGAAATACAAGGAATAAGAAGTCTTTCAATGGCCAAGCTATGAAACTACTGAAATGTGACCAAAAGCCAGAAAGTAGAGGCAAGTGTGGAAACTTTACCAACTGCAATTTTGATCAAATCTCTTCTAGAGACAGGTTTGGATGGTTTGGTTCAACAATTCTTGGGACCAGCAGTTAGCGTAACGTCTATGTCGCTGGACTCCCATGTAGTCGTCGGTGGTTCAAGTCTCGGACCCAGTGGCTTAAACTCACACCGGGGTTGTGTGCATGCGTGCCCAAGATCCCGAGAGAATGGAGGAGAAGGGATTGCGGTGTGGCCATCCCTGGGGGGGTGGGGGGTGGGGGGAGAGGAGTGATTTCTCGCTTTCTGTCTCTGTCTGTCTGGGGAGCGCACATGCCCTAAAGCAAAAACCTCTCCAAAAAAACAAACGAACAACAACAAAAAACAATCCTTCATTTCCCTCCAAAACCAATACACATAAAACTAACACCAATTATTCATTATGGGGCATGCATGCAAGAGCCGTCAGTCTCAGAGAGCACAAAACAGATGTTGCCATTTACTTAAATGTGCATCTATTCCATAGCCTATTCTGTTGGGGCGGTGGGGTACCCATGATTAAGTCTAGGTATTCATTTCTCTACTAGTCATTGCGATTCAGGTTCTTCTATGAACTTGGCTCCTACATCTGTCTTACGGGAACCACATTATGCTTATCAAATAACTACTAATATGCCAAAGAAGAAAGCTGTTTTAAGAACATAAAAGAAAACCTCATGCTATAGGTCAATTTTTAAGCGAGATATTCAAATATACAAAAGAATTGAGAAAAAACTCTTCTATGGCCAATGACGCTCACGCTTAAGATAACAAAAGTCCATTTAGTGGTGACAGTACATAAATATGGCATAGTTTAAGTTTAAATTCAGTCTGGGCTGTTGCCAGACAGAAGTCTTACAGGTATAAACACTGTTACTTAGCTGCATTAAGTTACTAGCTCTTTTTGGTTATAGGATCATTTTGGGAAGAAGAAAGCTAGTAATATTTAAATCCTAATCAGTATATTATGTTCACCATGAAAAACCTTTTCAAAGATTAAGATAAATTTAAAAAAAAAAAAGAAAAAGTCAGAGATAGTCACTAACTTCAATTATCAAAAAAGGGGAAAAAGTTGGGTTCTTTTGTTTTATTTTGCTTTCTTTTTTTAGGTGGAGGTAGACACATTTAAAAAGGAATTTCAGGGCAACTGGATCCAGTTGCTACACATTCCCTTTGCTAGGGTAGCGTCAGAAATTGATCCATCATATCTGAACGGGTATTAAGTGTAACCTGTCCTTTTCAATGAAAGCTACCAGAATTATTCTAACAAAAAAGAAGGAAGATATTGAATGATGCTCAGTACATACACACTTAGAAATTCTCCAGGCTGTAAGAAAATTACATGCGCATGCACAAAAATAAATAAGATCTTGGTTCCTTAAAAAGCCAAATCATACAGTTCAGAAGGAACTGTGAGCCAACAGACCTGCATTTGTATCACTGACATATACTTTCTTACACTTCCACCAAAGATTTTAATTTATGAAAGACGCCACTACATTTCAGACCAAAAAAATATATATTTTAAATTTTTACAATCAATCGAGATGTGGGAGCTTACAGAGAGCACATGGTAGTTCATGTAGGTGTGCAGCTCCAGCTCCCTCGATGCAAATAACCCTGGTAACAGTGTGTACAGTCTTCTCTTTGCTTTTTATCATCTTAAAGCAAATACATGTGACTGTATTTAAGTCTGTGCAAATAATCCTTCAGAAGAAATATTGGGGAAAAAAAAAAAAAAAACAGGGCAGACAAGGAACACGACTGAAGCAAGCAGAGGAGAATTTGACTACAATATAGCAGATATAAAAGCCATCGCTGAACTTGCACGCTTGTCTGAAAGGAGAAATACAAGGAATAAGAAGTCTTTCAATGGCCAAGCTATGAAACTACTGAAATGTGACCAAAAGCCAGAAAGTAGAGGCAAGTGTGGAAACTTTACCAACTGCAATTTTGATCAAATCTCTTCTAGAGACAGGTTTGGATGGTTTGGTTCAACAATTCTTGGGACCAGCAGTTAGCGTAACGTCTATGTCGCTGGACTCCCATGTAGTCGTCGGTGGTTCAAGTCTCGGACCCAGTGGCTTAAACTCACACCGGGTTTGTGTGCCTACGTGCCCAAGATCCCGAGAGAATGGAGGAGAAGGGATTGCGGTGTGGCCATCCCTGGGGGGGTGGGGGGTGGGGGGAGAGGAGTGATTTCTCGCTTTCTGTCTCTGTCTGTCTGGGGAGCGCACATGCCCTAAAGCAAAAACCTCTCCAAAAAAACAAACGAACAACAACAAAAAACAATCCTTCATTTCCCTCCAAAACCAATACACATAAAACTAACACCAATTATTCATTATGGGGCATGCATGCAAGAGCCGTCAGTCTCAGAGAGCACAAAACAGATGTTGCCATTTACTTAAATGTGCATCTATTCCATAGCCTATTCTGTTGGGGCGGTGGGGTACCCATGATTAAGTCTAGGTATTCATTTCTCTACTAGTCATTGCGATTCAGGTTCTTCTATGAACTTGGCTCCTACATCTGTCTTACGGGAACCACATTATGCTTATCAAATAACTACTAATATGCCAAAGAAGAAAGCTGTTTTAAGAACATAAAAGAAAACCTCATGCTATAGGTCAATTTTTAAGCGAGATATTCAAATATACAAAAGAATTGAGAAAAAACTCTTCTATGGCCAATGACGCTCACGCTTAAGATAACAAAAGTCCATTTAGTGGTGACAGTACATAAATATGGCATAGTTTAAGTTTAAATTCAGTCTGGGCTGTTGCCAGACAGAAGTCTTACAGGTATAAACACTGTTACTTAGCTGCATTAAGTTACTAGCTCTTTTTGGTTATAGGATCATTTTGGGAAGAAGAAAGCTAGTAATATTTAAATCCTAATCAGTATATTATGTTCACCATGAAAAACCTTTTCAAAGATTAAGATAAATTTAAAAAAAAAAAAGAAAAAGTCAGGCACCAGCAGGTGGTATGGTGGTTAAAGCACTGGATCCTATGTGGCCAACTGCTGTTTTGAGACCCAGACCCGGTGGCTTGAAAATCACAACAGGCACATGTGCATACATATTCAAAATCCCAAGAATGGATAGTGACATGGCCATCCCCCGGGGGTGTGGGGGGGTGGGGGTGGTTTCTCACATGCCCTCTCTGTCTCTCTGGTGAGCACATACGCCTATGACCAAAACAACTAAAAACAAATTTAAAAAAAAGTTTTTAAAAGCTTACACTGTGTTACAATGGTTTGAAAACAAGTATTGTGCAATAAAGTTTGGGATCTAAATTATTTAATTTGGTTGAAAGAGAATAAACCAGTCAATTAAAATCAATAGCAAAAGTAGATAGTCACTAACTTCAATTATCAAAAAAGGGGAAAAAGTTGGGTTCTTTTGTTTTATTTTGCTTTCTTTTTTTAGGTGGAGGTAGACACATTTAAAAAGGAATTTCAGGGCAACTGGATCCAGTTGCTACACGTTCCCTTTGCTAGGGTAGCGTCAGAAATTGATCCATCATATCTGAAAGAGTATTAAGTGTAACCTGTCCTTTTCAATGAAAGCTACCAGAATTATTCTAACAAAAAAGAAGGAAGATATTGAATGATGCTCAGTACATACACACTTAGAAATTCTCCAGGCTGTAAGAAAATTACATGCGCATGCACAAAAATAAATAAGATCTTGGTTCCTTAAAAAGCCAAATCATACAGTTCAGAAGGAACTGTGAGCCAACAGACCTGCATTTGTATCACTGACATATACTTTCTTACACTTCCACCAAAGATTTTAATTTATGAAAGACGCCACTACATTTCAGACCAAAAAAATATATATTTTAAATTTTTACAATCAATCGAGATGTGGGAGCTTACAGAGAGCACATGGTAGTTCATGTAGGTGTGCAGCTCCAGCTCCCTCGATGCAAATAACCCTGGTAACAGTGTGTACAGTCTTCTCTTTGCTTTTTATCATCTTAAAGCAAATACATGTGACTGTATTTAAGTCTGTGCAAATAATCCTTCAGAAGAAATATCCAAGGTTCTTGTTTGCAGAGGTCATTTCGTCTCTCCAAGATGATTAAATGAGTTTTGGGTTTTTTTCGGATAAAGTGCTCCTGTCCAGCAGAACTCAAAGGCCTTCAAGCGGTCGAGAAGTGTAGTTGGGATCAGACGTGGTCATACGAACTCTAGCTTCCCGTGCCCACTGTACATGCCCCAGTGCACGAGCGAGAGGATCCTGTCGTTGCTGAGGTCGGCCTGCCTCATCTTATCGCAGGTCAGACAGCAGTTCTCGTGCCCACTGACGGGCACCATGCACTCCAAGTCTAACTTTGCAACCTGCCCCTTTTTGGAGTGGTGTCCGTGAAAGCTGTAGTGCAAACGCGAGAGCATCTGCTGCCGCTGATCCTGCAGTCTCTTGTTCTCACTGCGGAGCATCCTCAAGGCCAGCATAATAAGCAACACGAGGATCAGCCCTCCGGCGATGGGAACAGCAATGACCGCCGCCCGGAACCACAGCTCTTTGGAAGAAGTCAGCTCCTGCACTTTGGTGATGAGGTTTCTGCTACCATCATGCTGATACCTGTTCCCTTGTCCTAAAGGAGTAACAAACACAACGGTCACACGCCACGTCAACTCCTCCTAGAGGGGTGCACGAGCACCGAGCCACTCTGAACGAGGAATCCCATTACAGAGCGGCTTACGATGAAACCGGCAATATTTATAAAATAAATACTGCCAAACCCTCTAAGAAGCTTACCCATGCACTTGTTTACAGACTGCTGTTACTGAGATGGAACGGGCTTTTAATGTCTTGAAAATGTTGGAGAAACAGGCAAAACCTATTATGTCGACAGGCAGCGAATGCTCTGGCAGACATAAAAGCTACTCGATAGAGATGCATCTTTGCATCCCGCCACGCTTCTCCCTCCGGTGTCTCTAATTACATTAACAACAAAATCAATAGCAGACAGCCCACGTCGTGGCTGTCCGGAGTCTGGAGCCTGTCGATGGGCAGCATCTGGGTCAGCAAGGGCTGCCACCTACCTGCGGCCTCCCCCTTGGGCGGGGAGAGCACATCGTGCAGCCCCCTGTAATTGCACATGTCTTCGTGACAGCATTCCAGCGTGCGCGTGCTGCTGCCGGAGTGGTTCTGGGCCTGTTGGCCTTGGCAGGCATCTGCCGTGCTCGCAAGAGAGTCCAGACAGCCGTGGGTGAGCGGGGAATTTGTGTTCTGAGGATCCAGGAGGCGAGAGAAGCAGGCGCTGAGCTCCGACTTACACATATAACCAGTTGCCACACAGTGGGCGGCATCACAGTAGCATCGAATTTCACCTGAAAAGGAGAAATCAAGTCACCCTGGGCTTCAGAGACCAGAGCAATTGCTAAATCCCAAATTCAAAGGCACTAACGGGTTAGGTCATTCAAGCTGAGTGCTTAGAATAGACTAGGAAACCTGAGTGCGCGGGTTAGTGCTTAAGTTTCAATTCATTAAAATATTATTTTAGCGGGGCCAGCAGGTGGCATGGTGGTTAAGGGCGCTGGACTTTCACATGGTAGACTGTGGTTCGAATCCTGGACCTGGCGACTTGCTTTCACTTTCTTTCACACTCTCTCATCCTGTCCCTCTCTGATCAAATTAAAATAACTAAAGTTAAATAAAATAATTATTTATATATACATATAAAATTTTAGCATCCTAATAGGAGATTTCTGATGAATTAAAAATAATACTTCTGGGGCCAGCAGGTGGCATGGAGGTTAAGGCACTGGGTTCTGATGTGGCCGCGGCCAACTGCCGTTCAAGTCCAGGACCTGGGGACTTGAAAATCACACTGGGCACCCAAAATCCCAAGGAGAATGTGGAAGAGACTGCGTCGTGGCCATTGCCCCTTGGAGGTGATTTATCATTTTCCTTCTCTGTCTCTCTCCAGAGAATGCATGCTCCCTACAGCAAAAACCTAAAACCAACTTGTCTTGGAAGGAAAATAGTACTCACTATCATTTCTCTTACTGTAAGGCAAATGACATTACTTATTCATTTGAATCCTACAGGATCATACAACAGAAAAATGATAGGCTTTTTGATTTTTGTCAGTATAAATATTTGATCGGAACTACTGAATTGTTTACTATCCCGAAGGACTGAGCCAAGCTTTAAGAGCTTTAGCTAACACCTTATAAAGTTATTAACTAGACACACAACAATCTAGAAACTGCTCAGGTCAGGAGGTTTGAAAACTATGAAACTGGGCAGCTATTTGCGACCTCTCGAGAAAAGGCACACTTTGCCTATAAAGATCTTTTCATGCAGAGGAGCTTTTAGTCAGTATATTGTAAAACAGGAACTAGGCAGTTTACAATTAGTGGTTTGCTTGCCAAAGTCAATTTCTTTCAGCCCAAATGGAAAGTCATAAAGGGGGAAGGGGGTGGGCAAAACTGCAAGGCTAACTTCTCCCCAACCCCCAACCCCCCAGTTTTACATGTAACCCAACATGTGATCTAAAAGGGGAAACGCTGAAACTGAAAATCCCTCTCCTGGTTGAATGAAAAATCCTTAAGGAAACCTCACATTTTTCTACAGGAAGTGATTAAAAGTTTCCCTTATAAAAACTTATTTTGTGAGTTGCAAGCCTCCGTTAGCATTTTGTCACCATGCAAGAGTCAAGGCTTCAACAACGATGTCTAGCTGAAAGAATCTGAGTCTTAAAAGTTATCACTAATGCGATACCCAACCTGGCGGAGTGGGGTCATTGTTAGAGGCCACAGTGAAAGCTACTGTAAATTGAACTCATGCACACCACTCCCCAGTTCTGCAATCTGGAGACCTGTCTAGTTACTGAATCCTCTACTCTGAAATCAAACACCGGGGCTGCTGCTTTACAAACCTATTCCCACCCTCACCTTTTCCGTCCTCTTCTGTGAGTGCCTGAGTAAAGTGTCTCACTCAATTATCTGTCCGAATTCCAGGCCCCTCTGGTATGTATGCTCAGTTTTCACCCGAGGCTGCTAATGCTTTGGTTCTAAGGCAAACCGGCCACCTAGGCCACCTAAACACCGTCCTGGCCACCCTAACAGCCCAAAGCTGGAGGTCTTGCTCCTCCATCTGCACTCGCCCTCCAGGATTCAGCCCAAGTCTCTTTCCGCAGCTTCCAGTGCTCCAGGTAAGAAGCTTGCTTTGCAGAAGGTCTTTTCTGCTTTTTGCTCTCCTCTTGCCAAGCGGGTTTTATTCTGCACATCGAGCTCCCTGGTCTTCTGTGGTGACGGCTACATATCCCTAGCCTGACAGATTCCATACACGGATCTCAAGTCTACCTGAAACAGATCAAATGTCTATTTCGATTCTATTCGCCTCAGACCTAGCGCAGAAAAGGAAAAGCGAATACAAGTAAAACGCTGCTTAAATGTTTATGAGAGTCTATTTAAAATACTGTATTTTCAATGACCTAAAACAGTCTAATAAAACGTGGACAGGTAACTGGGAAAGTCCTAACAACTTTTTTTTTTTAATTGGAGCCACATTGTAGCTAAGGAGAATGGACTTTTGTATTACTGTATTCAAACTATATTTCTGCTGTTTCATAAAGTTTCTTCCTGTGGCATGGAAAAGGCCAGAAAGGGGACTGGTATTTTGAAACAGCGAACAATGCCCTTCTGTTCCCCCCTTTCTCGTTACTGTATGTGGTGATTAAACCAAAAAAAAAAAAAAAATGTCTGCTCTAGTCAAGATGGCTACAGGAGCGACTGCTGGCTTCTTTGAAAGCTTTTGAAGTCCGCAGCAGTCAGAAATCTCTGATCCCCTAATTATATCATTATCAGGCACATACTTTCGGTATCTGTGACTTCATGTTAGCCCCAGCCCCTCCCGGCCCTGCCGGCTTTGATAGGGCCAGGAGGCTCCCCTCTGCAGGCTGCAAAGGCTGTTATTTAGGGTTAATTACACCCTTCCTTCCAAAATAAATAAATACTGTAGCACATCATCCTTGCTGGGCTGGCTTATCCTTTAACCTCATGCCTGCTACATGGCAATTAGAGAAAAGTGGGGGGTGCAAAGCTAAATAATGCTTCCTATTTAAGAAAAGATGATCTGTCCACGGACGAGGAGGTGGAGTTGGGAGGCAGGGAGGCGGAGGGAACCTCGAAATCTACAGGGAGTTGGGAGTTATTTCCATCTAAAAGGTGATGGCCTGCGGGGGAAAGAGACTGACCCGCTTTTCTTCGTGGGGGGAGTAGCTTGTAAAACATGAGGTGAGGGAAAACTGGTCCCAAGGGCAGAGCCTCCTCCCGCCACCTAGAAGCGACAAACGCTCCCACACAGTGCACTCGGAGACGCGGCGCGGACCGCGACACTCTCGGCGAGACCCACACTCTGTCGATCACGAACACACTCAGAGTCGCACTCGCCCAGAGAGACGGAGACATTCAGAGACATACAAAAGACGAGTTCACAGGGCGACACGCAGACACACACAGCTCAGAGACACACGTTCACGGACCGGCACACGCTCCGCCGGTGCAGTCGGGGGACCGGGGTCTGCGTCTCCTCCGGCCGCCCGGGCCCCGGGACAGGGAGGAGAGGTGGCGTCCGAGCCGGCTCTCCAGCCCCGCTGGCGACCTCCGGGAGCTCACTACAGAGACCTTCCTAGCCGCTGGCCCGCCCCGAGGTCTGATCCACCGCGCCCCGGCCCGAGACAGCCGAGGGGGCGGCCCTAAGCCACCGCCGCGACTTCTAAGAACTGAGCAACTTGCCGCGACCTGCGGCACCAACGTGGAGGGCACCTCCCCCGCGCTAACAAAGCCTTGGCAGCCGGGTTCAAAGCCCCGCGGCGGGGCCAGGCCCCAGGCCCCCAGCGCCCTGCCCTGGGATTCAGCGCGCGGTCCCGCACCCCTGGCCGGCAGGCACCCACCTTTGGTGAGCAGCACGGCCATGGCGCACAGTTCGAGCTGCAGCCAGATGAAGATATAGCTGGAATGGCGATCCATTGACGCCCCTCCGGCCGCGGCGCCCCCGCCGCCTC